GAGAGGGGAGGGCAGAGAGTGGGGAGGGGAGGGAGTGGCAGAGGAGAGGGGAGGGCTGAGCAAGACTGAGAGGAGCCCCAGGACTAGAGGTGGAAATAAGGGGCAGGCTTTAGGGCAGAAACAAGGAACCCAGGACAGGGACACAGGGAGGTGGGGCAGACGGGACGGGGGAAGGGAACAGCAACTGAGAAGGCAATCCCACTGTCAGATGTGTGCTCCAGTGGGGTAACCAGCAGCAAACCCATGCATGACACTTGGGACCCACAAGCCCATTCATTCTAAGGCTCAACACACTTCACCCTCCCAGTCTGCACCCAGGCCCTGACAGCACAAGAGCCAGCCAAGAAGCCATGAGGAACAGGCTGGGAAGGTGAGGAACCTCAGCACAGAGAGGTCAGGAAATCTCCCCGAGGTCACACAGGTACTGGGCCTAGACCTGAGAGAAACAAAGATGAGAGGAAAGGAAGGACCAGAGCTGACAGGAGCTAACTAGGGTGGTGCAGAAACAGGACTAGGAGGGTGGAAATGTGGACGGGAGTGTGCACCTGTGGACCTACACGGGGCCTGCCCAGACATCGGGTGCAACGTCCTCATTTTCCTTACAAATCAGAGCACCTGCATTCAGGCGGTTTCCCCTAGAAAACCAGGACAGCCCCTGGGTGTCTTAGGAGCGGCCTCTCGCCCACACCCACGCACCTGGAATCTGTGCCCCAGTGCATAGCGTAGATTTTGGCCAGGTGCCCCCGCAGCGTTCTCCTGGTGCGCATCTGGATCCTTCCCACAGGGTCCACGTTGTTTGTGATCTGAAAAGGAAGTGCCTGCAGGTCACCATTCTGTGAGGAATCATCTCCCTGAGGCCACCTCTCCGTCACTCCCACTACTGTGCCCACCCAGTCCCTGAGCTACCCCAGCTGCTCCCTGCTGGGATTCCTCCTGTTTGCAGGACACCTCCATTCCTTTCACTGTTCTGTCTTTAGGAACACCTGTTTCTCTACTTCACTCCCCCCAGTGGGCACCATGCATAGTGCTGGCCAGACGGTCGCATCCCTCTTCTCTCTCTTCTGGCTCACAACTGTCCACCCAGGCCAGCTCCTCACACCTCCCACAGCCTAGCCAGCCCACCTCTCAGTTCATACCCAGCCCAGCGCTCAGGCTGTGTGCTGACCTAGATGGCAGCTACCACCTACTCTGCAGTACTGCTGCTTGGGGTACAGAACCGTACGTGCAAACCTGCCAATTCCCCCGACCTGAAAACTCCAACGTTAATGACTTGGGGTAGACACATGGAAATCAGTGTGTCAGACTAATGGGCCTAAAAACTCTACAAAGTGCATCTAAGACTCAGGTAATTCTACATAGTACACTTTTTCTTTAACTTACCATTTAACCTCAATTAAAATACATCCCTTAAAGCAGGGATAGGGAATATCCGGCCCTCAAAATCATTGGGTCTGGCCTGCTAAGGCAACCGCAGGAGGGACTCGAAAGTCAATAAATCTAGGAGCTTTTTTCAGAGCTAATTTTTTAAAAAAAAATATATCATTATTGATTTCAGAGAGAGGAAAGGAGAGGGAAAGAGAGAGATAGAAACATCAATGAGGAGAGAGTCACTGATCAAGCCCGCAACCGGGCATGTGCCCTGACCAGGAATCAAACCCTGATTGCCTGAATCCTAGGTCGACACTTAACTGCTGAGGCACGCCCAGCCGGGTCAGAGCTAATTTTTAAGTTGATAATTTTGTATAGCCCTCAAATGGTCTTATAAATATCCAAATGGACCTTGGCAGAAAAAAGATTCCCCAACCCTGCCCTAAAGCATTAGAACACTGTAAAAAATTAATCCTCAGTAGAAATATAATTTTTCTTACACATTTCTGTTTAATTCATTGAGCAAAAATAATGTTTTTAAGGAGGTGAAATTCACTACTTAAGTATACATCCAGTGGTACTTGGCATGCTGACAATGCTGTGTGACACCACCTCTCCCCGGCTCAAGAACATGCCCACCCCCCGCCCATGTCCACTGAGCACTCGTTCCCTTCCCCCTCTCCAGTCCCTGGCAGCCACTAAGTCTCCATGGACTGGCCTGTTCTGACTGCTCCCTGTCAATGGACCCTAGAGCAGGACCTGAGCCTGGCTGCCCCACAGCACCAGGTCCTAGGGGTGTCCGTGCTGCAGCAAGTGTCAGAGCTGCGCTCTTCTCTATGGCTGAGTGATGTTCCACTGCGTGCGTTTACTGCAATCTGTCTACCCATCACCAGTTATGGACCCCAGGGCTGCTGAGAACCTGCGCCTTGTGCCTGTTCCCACACCTGTTTTCAGTTCTCTGGCTATGTCTGGAGTGGAAATGCTGGGCCACAGCACTGGTTAAACTTTGAGGACATGCCAACAGAAATAAAAGTTCTGAGGCAGATTTTTTTATAAAGGAGAGAACCTTCAAAATACCTTCCTTGAAGACTAATATTTTACTACTCTGACCTCTGCAATAGTAAGTACTCATTTAAGGCTTCAGAGAGATTTATTTTTCATCCTAAAAGCACTACTTCCTACGCTGAGCATGAGGGTGACTTGAGTGCAAACGCTCCCAGCACCAATTCCCACCCTTGCTGCGCAGGAGAACCAGAGCAGAGTGTCCCAGGGGTCCACAGAGGCACCACCTCTGTGCCAGGCAGGCGGCTGCGTGAACGGTTCTTACCTGAGAGAGTGTTGCATCTGCACATGCTTTCCTGGCATCCTAGAGGTAACAATGATAAGGAGGAAGTCAGTAAATCAGACATGTCCAATCCCAGGTCCTCCCACCACAGTTCCAGAGTCTCTGGGCACTGCCAGGAGAGAGGCAGAAACTGACCATGGAGGGCTCCTTCTGCCATCCTGCAACACCCCACAGTACGGTGCAATGTGTGGACTGTCCGGGAGACCACAGTCTACACCCAGACCTGCAGATCATCCCATCTAATCAGCACAATGCCCAGGACGCTAGCCACACTGGGAGGACCACACTGGGAGCTGGGTGGCACCGGAGAAGCCCTGGACCTGGGAGCTGTACCGTCCTGCCTGCCGAGGCCCCATACCTTCACACACATCTCCCTCTGTCTTTTAACAGCCCAGGAGCTCTGAGGCCCAGAGAAAAATGCCTGAAAAGCACTGATGTCCAGCCCAAAGAACTGTCCTTCTGGACTGTGTTAACTGGGAACTGTTTTGAAGCCAGACAAACCGCTAATGCTGAAGCTATCGAAACGAGAAAAGGGCCTGCTGTGACTTTCAGGTTGCTCCATCTGTTAACCGTGTTCTTGTCCAGGGAACGACCTTATGAGGCAGGTACTTGTTCTACAAGGGGACACATTAAAGCTAAATAGAATGCTTCACTGTCCCTAAAAGATCAAAGTTATTAGAAAATAAAATCTTGAAATCTCACATTAGTGCACATATTTTACAAATAAAAAGCCATACGATAGAGAAAGGAAAATGAGACAATAGCTTTAAAACGGTCAAAACTTGAGTATAGAAGTGATTTGCAAGAAAATTACGACAATATCTAACGAGAAAAGTATTTTGTTATGTTGTCACCTGACCAGGTGCTTTCACAGTGGCAACTGGCCACTGGATGGCTTTTACACATCCTGGCGCTGGTGTGAGGGTCGGGGGAGACACTCCCTGAGGGGCAAATGCCTCCCTGCTGATTATTTTTACTCCAGGAAGCTGGTGGGGACGGTCACGAACCAAGAACATGGGAATGGATTCAAAGATGTCGTTATCAGCAATGTCCCAAAGATCTAGGTTCCAACGTTAATCATGTGATTACATGTCATCTGCTTCGTGAATTATATATAACTAACACAGAAAATACTGTGTGCTCTGCCACCAAGTGAGGGGTCAGGGTAAGTGGAGGGAAGCCCAGTGCAGCAGCCTTTTACCAGTGAAGCCCAGCTGGCAGGACCAAGCCCGATACCTGCTTCTGAGCCCCGTTCTGCTTGATGTTCTTACCTACAGCTTTTAAATCCTCACCCGGGGATATTTTCTCCACTGAGTTTTAGACAGAGAGCGGACGCAAGGGAGGAGGGGGAGAGAGACATCAACGTGAGAAACAAACATCAATCGGTTGCCTCCTGCACTCGCCCTGACCAAGGCTGGGGATGGAACGTGCAATCAAGGTACTTGCCCTTGACCGGAAATCGAACTCACAGCCCTTGGATCCATGGGCTGACGCTCTAACCACTGAGTCAAATTGGCCTGGGCACGTACCTATGGCTTTTAATTTTAAGGAAAAAAACACACAAAAAAACAAAAAACAGTAAAAAGTTTTTAAATGGACATAAGCGACTTCATCCTAGCTAGTGTCCAAAAATCACGTCCCACATAACACAGTGCGGACACTACTGATAAAGAACATTTAAAACAGAGCACAGGCTGGCCGGGCATGGCTCAGTGGTTGAGCGTCGACCTAGGATCCAGGCGATCAGGGTTCGATTCCAGGTCAGGGCACATGCCCAGGTTGTGGGCTCCATCCCCAGTCAGGGGCCTGCAGGAGGCAACCGATCAATGACTCTCTCATCATGGATGTTTCTCTCTCTCCCTCTCCTCTCTCTGAAATCAATAAAGATACATTTTAAAAAAAGAAAAAAGAAAAAAAAATCCTTAAAAAAAAGAACAAAAGAACACTGAGCACAGCCCTGGCTAATGTTGCTCAGTAGTTAGAGCATCAGCCTGGGTACCAAAGGGTCCTGGGTGCAATTCCCAATCAAGGGAGTGTACCTGGGTTGCAGGTTTGATCGCCATGCAGGAGGCAACCAATCAGTGTGCCTCTGTCACTTCAAT